TGTAGTGGATAGAGTGTCTGCTTGGAGGGTGGCAGGTAGGTGGTTGGATCGATGACCAACTCTGTGGTGTAGTGGATAGAGCGTCTGCTTGGAGGGTGGCAGGTAGAGTGGTTGGATGGGAGGTAGGTGACCAACTCTGTGGTGTAGTGGATAGAGTGTTCTGCATTGGAGTTGGCTAGCTTCACACACGCACGCACGCACGCACGCACACACACACAGAGTTGTCTGCTGATGTAAGAAGAGGAGGAGGAGCCTAAATATAAATGCAAATTTTATGTTCGGAATCAAACCCAAAAGAGTATTGAAGTTGTTCAATGGTGAAAGATTTTGTATTTTTTTTGAAATTTCTTTGGCATGATTGAAAAGTTCACTTATAGAATGTAAAATGACATGTGTCAACCAAGTCAGCGAACCTGACCACCCAATCCCGTTAGTCGCCTCTTACGACAAGCATGGGTTGCTGAAGACCAATTCTAACCAGGAACTTCACGGGTGCTTCTCTTAAGAGGTGACAAACAAAATTATGCTCTGTCATGAGGTGACAAAGAGACTCCAGCATGAAATGCAGCGCACTAGTCAAGAGAACACACGGGTAGGGTTGGGTGCAGCCTTCGAAATTAACGTTGGTCCTTAGGCCCGAAGCCGATTGAAAAACATTTGGACCCACAGCTTATGTTTTCTTCAGGTCCTTTTGGCCGACAGCTTTTTCATCCCTAAGAGTATTATTTCCATATTAAAATATAGGGCCTACACATTCTGATCAGGACCCACAGCATCTGTGGTTCTGGGCCTAGATTTTCGATGCTCTCTTAGCGCTAAGATAGTCGTAAGTTAATGTTAATGCATGGCACTTACGACTATCTTAGTGCTAAGAGAGCCTTTCAGGTTAAGGCCAAACCCAAGTTGGGTAGGTGTTGTTCGAGGCACATTGTTGTTCTCGCTGTGACAACATTCAGAGTAAAACACACGGGGAACACTTCCATTATCACAAAACCTTTCTGATGAAGGCGATTCCGATTGTAAACATGTTTATAAATAACTTTTGCAGAAGGTGAGGTGAGGTGAAATTGGATTTAACGTCGTGCTTGAGAATATTTCGCTCATATGACGACGTGCATGCGTTTGTATGTGTATGTGCGGCTGCTTGTACTAGCCCAGACTTAAGCTGGTTTTATAGTGCTAGCCCACTGAGATACCATGCCGCAGTGAAGCATGAATACCCCACTCAGACACATTATACTCAGACACATTATACTGACTCCGAGCCGACCAGTCCTTGTCGTACCCATTAATGCCGAACGCCAGACAGGGACCAACAAGTACCATATTTTAACGTCTTTTGGTATGACGCGGTCGGGGATCGAACCCGCCACCTTCCGCTCTCCGGGCGGACGCTCTAACCACTACACCACGGAGGCGGTCCTTTTGCAGAAAGGAACATGCGAGTTCTTTTCTCCACACAGCTTTATCGGGGTAAAGAGAGGACTTGCAGGATGCTTCTCACATAAACTATACCTTTATCATCTAACCCACCAAGCACACTCACAATTTCTTAGTAAGACACGCTTTCCCCGCCTTCATGGTTCCCAGAAATAATTCAAGAATTATATACGGCATCAATATTTCTGATCGTTGGATTACCAGTATTGCTTTCATGTATTCGTTTAACTGAGAATATTTAAACATGTTAAAAAACGACTCAATGAAAGCCCAGGTCGATCGTGTGAAACGAAGGCATTAGTGTCTCTGTGTGCACGTGACTTGAGATCCACACGTGAGGAATATCGTCACAGAAATGTCAGACACAAGCATGTTTGTCTGCCGGGGAAACCGGCAGGTGCGCTCATAAAATCTACGGTTGAGTCATCTTATGTTTTTCTGTGTTTAACTTGGCCCCGTCTCCTTGTAAATATGCTGCCCCTGTGTGTGGATTCGTGCATTACAAATATTCCACCGCATCCGCGGAGAACAGAAGTTAACTGTGGTGAGTTCGCCAAGAATGTCAAAACGTATTGAAAATGTATTGTTTTAATCGTTTTTAACTGTTCAAGAAAACCTGGGAAAATGGCAAGCTGATCTGATCGGATTTAATATGGTCATAATGGACGGTAAAAGCCTCTTAAAGATAAACATGTAAATGTAGAATGTTGACCCGTGGAAGATTTGTGTTATTCTATGTACCGAGAACACCACTGGAAACAGGATGTTGTTTTATATTGGGGATGAGAAGTGTCTTTTGTGACAATGACCACCGGCGTGTTCGGTTTTAAAGGATAGGCACATCCTTTGTCATTGTCAAGGCAGGCACACCTTGATGCGAGGCATCAACAAAATCACTGTGTTATGTTGAAATGACAAGCGGGGTGTTCAGATTCAGTACTAATGCTTAAACGTGGGAGAGAGATAGCTGTATTCATGTGCTGCCATATACTGTCACGTATCTGTGAAGGCAGGCTATAAGTGGTATCGCCAAGTCCTAACAGGATCTCAGCCGCATGGGGAGCATTTTTATTTTCTGTGTTTCCCATCGCCAGGACCCCCTCCCCAAAAAAGCTGTTTCATTCCATCACCGCAGACTCGAACCTAAAATGTACCGATTCGTCATATTAAATGTTGAACTTTCAATCAGTCACTCTGCCACAAGTCCAAAGAAGGCGAGAAATTGTGAAATTGTAATAAGAATTACAATAAATGAGAATCAAGAACATTATTCAGATAATCTTGTCTTTATTAATTTTTCTTCTTTTTTTTGTTACCGACCGACAGGCCCATGTTCAGAATTTGGCGACTACGTATAACACATAAAAAATGATGACATATAGGTATAATCACTAAACGATTTAAATAACTCTGTCGTATTACAGTACCCTTGTTGAACTTTTTTTTTTATATCACAAAACAATTACCATATGTTTCAATCAATACATTTACCATTACATTGTAAATCAGTTACATAGTGAACATTTTATACCTACCCTTATTGCAATCATCTCCATATTCAGGAACTGTTGTTACATATATGGTACACGATATTTCAGTCCAGTTATGGTTTTGTAGTAAGTTGTTCATTTGTTATTTAACGTCATGTCTGTCTGTTACCATCGCATGCCTGTTTATGTTGGCGTGTGGTCCCATGCACAGAGCTCAGGTCACGAATCAGATGAAGTTAAGCAACGTCGAGCTCGGAGAGTCCTTGGATGGGTGACCGTGTTTGGCAGCTTGACGCTTGAGAGTTTCTAGGACTTCAGTCCTGCCCCACAACGAAGCACATGTGATACATTAGGTCTTACCTTAAGCAAGTGAGTTTGTTCAAAATTGCCTCTGTTCACCCAGCAGAAAATGGGTACCCGGTTGGATAAAGTCACGTATCTATAACCTTCTAGCGCCTAACAGGCAGCTTGGGTTATCCCGAGTAATAATAATCAGATTCTGATTAAGCGCCGCGAGCAATCACTTGGTGTTTGGAGACTGTGCGCAATAGCAAATGACTTATTATTATCATTATAATGTCTAACTGTAAATAGTCTGGACCAGACTATCAAGTGATTGACATCATGAGCATCGTTCTCCTGACCACCCTACCCATTTAGTTGTCTCTTAAGCCATGTATGGACTGCAGTTCTAAGTCAAATTCTTACCAGATGTTAACAGTGGGAAAACAATCATTGGTTTTGAACACCCATTCCAACCCGTAGCTTCTTTACTCCGTGTGATTAATAGGGCTTCAACGAGTCCATTTTCTTGGACTCGAGTACTCGAGGGGTGAGACTCGACTCGGACCCGAGTACTCGAAATTCATACCTTTCAAACAAACGATAGCGTAACCGACATGACATGTGTTGCGATCACACAAGTGAACACTTACTTCATTCCGACTTCATATCGTCGTGTGACTAACATTTCCTATTGGTCAGAATCAGTATTTGGATGTTTACTTGCCAAATGTGTTATACGCAGTGATATACCGCACAGGCGGAATTTGGTTATTTTTCTCTTTTCACTATCCAGATCAAGACACGCCCATACATTTGATTTTTTTATCGTTCTCCATGTCTGTTAAGATAGTTACCTAATCATTTTAAGAAGTGAAATCTCAAACGATGTATAATATTTACTCTCATCTGCATACTTGTAACAACTAATACCATACAGCCACACCTTGTGAGGAGTAAACTATTTAATCTAGGTGTTAATAAAAACATTATCAGATGGGTTAAATAATTCAGGGTACATAGAACTCAGTATGTCAGTGTCAATGGATATCAATCTTCTTTACTCTCAACCTCTACTGGAGCTCCACAGGACTGCGTTCTTTCATCCGTACTCTTCGTTTTGTATACCAATGACTGTTACTTGTCATTAAATGACTTGTTTACTGTGAAATTCGCAGATGACGCCACTGTTGCTGGCCTAATTTCTGATTCTGAACCTTATTATCGTCAAGGCATTGACAAAATCGTAATGACAGTTTATATCAAACCTTTATTCAAAGTGTGTTGACCTACAGTTTTCTGTGTTGGTATGGGGCCTGTCTGATCGCAACAAAAACTTTTCAAAATTGTTAATACTGCCGACTAAATTTCGAGTATATTCCCTTTATCTATGAGTGCCAGATTGTCAAAAAGGCAACTAAAATTAGAATTCATAGTTAACATATTTTATCTCACCATTTTGAAGTACTTCTTTGTGGACGCTGCTGTCGATTACCTTCCCTCAAAACAAACAGAGCTTGACAGTCTTTCATACCCTCAAGTATTCGTGAATGCAACAAATATTTTGAATTATCACCATGTGATAACAGCTAGAATTATTCAGCCTCTTTACCTATGTGATTAATTGAATTATATCATGTCAGTTTTACTGTGTAAATAGCTTTCGTTTTGTGCATGTCATTATTGTGTATATTTTGAGACAGTTTGGATGTATAAGAATTTCCTCCGGGGGATAATAAAGTTATATCTTATCTTAATATTAGACGTTAACGGCCGCTCATGCTCAGCACATGGCAGACAGTCTGTCAACGTAACCCAATAATTCGAGTTATCTCCCCTTTTCGAGTCCTCGAGTCCTAGAAAATGGACTCGAGTCCAGTTAAACCCGACTCGTCCTCGAGTACTCGAGTTCCCGTGGAAGCCCTAGTGATTAAACCTACTCTTGTTGTTGAATCATTACGTAGACTGTAAATACTACGTACTTACATCATTTCAATCACGATACCCAGATATTGACGACGCTAGGTTGAGTAATGTCAGTGACGGTGCTAACAGGTAGATGTGACTCATGTCATGTCATAGTTGGGCGGGACCGCCTCCGTGGTGTAGTGGTTAGAGCGTCCTCCCGGAGTGCGGAAGGTCGCGGGTTCGATCCCCGACTGCGTCAAACCAAAAGACGTTAAAATATGGTACTTGTTGGTCCCTGCCTGGCGCTCGGCATTAATGGGTACATCAAGGACTGGTCGGCTTGGAGTCCGTATAATGTGTCTGAGTGGGGTATTCATGCTTCACAGCGGCATGGTATCACAGTGGGCTAGCACTATAAAACCAGCTTCAGTCTGGGCTAGTACAAGCAGCCGCACATACGCATACACACGCATGCACGTCGTCATATGAGCGAAATATTCTCAAGCACGACGTTAAACCCAATTCCACCACCACCACCATCTTGGGGCGGTGGGGTAGCCAAGTGGTTAAAGCGTTGGCTCGTCACGCCGAAGACCCGGGTTCGAATCCCCACAAGGGTACAATGTGTGAAGCCCATTTCTGGTGTTCCCCGCCGTGATGTTGCTGGAATATTGCTAAAAGCGGCGTAAAACCAAACTCAGTCAGTCAGTCAGTCCTGTCATATTACACATCATTAGTCATAAGAACATGGCACTGCAAGACATCTAGTAACGTACTCCGTTGTGGAGAGTTGTTTCCACTGCTATCGTCAAACGAAAGTACTAAGAAAAAGGACCTGTGAAGATCCGGGTTAGAAGCGATCTTCAGTAACCCATGTTTGTCGTAAGAGGCGACTAACGGGATCGGGTGGTCAGGCTCGCTGTCTTGGTTGACACATGTCATCGGTTCCCAATTGCGTATTCGATGCTCATGATGTTGATCACTGGATTGTGTGGTCCAGACTCGATTATATACAGACCACCGCCATATAGCTGGAATATTGCTGAGTGGCGCGTTGAACATCAAACGGAATTATATTTTTAAAAAAACAAACAAAAAAACGCTTGTTCTACTGCAACATATCGAATTTCGTTGTTTATGAAAACAGACTTCGCAATGTGTCAATGTATATATTCAACATATGTTGAAACGTTGTGTTAAGCGTGTATATGACAAACACACGTACAGTATTAGCTGAAAAAGTCAATCTTTATACATCTCTGCGTCTTCATACCTCTACAGTTTTAGGGGTATTGGTGAAGCCGAGTGGTTAAAGCGTTCGCTCGTCACGCAGAAGACCCGGGTTCGATTCCCCACATGGACGCTATGTGTGAAGCCCGTATCTGGTGTCCCCACCGTGATATTGCTGGAATATTGCTAAAAGCGGCATAAAACTGACCTCACTCACTCTATAGTTTGAACAAGGTGTACCATCTGTGTCATCCGAATCACGAATATCGGAGGTTCTTTATGAAATTGTGTGCCTAGTCAACACTACAAGTATTCATGATCTCTAATGATTTTGACATGCATGTTGAATTACATAGCTCGATATAAATTTTCATTGCCTTGTCTGAAAAATAAATTTATCAAGTTGCTCAGCGTCACCAAACGGATTTGCTCTACGCATATGACGTCATGTACATCCGGGTCCCGTTCCGCAGGCAATCAGCATGACAAACAACATAACGGAATACGTCAAACAAATGTCTGGGTTTTTTACAACTATAACATATACTGCCAATGTCGTTTATCATGTTAAACAAAGCTTGATTCAGCATGTGTCGTGTCGACCTAACACAGTATTTACACTCTGAAGGTCGATGGGTTGGATACGGATTTGACATCTCGCGTGGTATCCGACAATGAGCTGCCTGTATGTGGCGCGTTGTCGTTTAGAGTATGACACCACATCTACACATGTAGTACATGAATAACGAATAGAACACGACCCAACATTTTGAATAGTGTTCACGGTGGGAGAGAAAAAGGACTGGCGCTCTGTCAGAGGCCTTACGTAACGTTCTCTCATTATTCGTGTAAAGATAACGGAATGGTTGTGTAAGCAACGGCACCAAGCATCTTAAATTATAATCTGATAACATTTTACACATGCAATTTAAAAATCATTTTGAAAAATGTAATGACGGGGTGACATTTTAAAAATAATTTTAAAACATTAGGTATTTCTTCCCTCTGACTCCCTGTCATACAGATGTCATATTGTTGAGCGCGGCGTTGCACAACAAACCAAGCAATGGACGGCATGTTGCTAAGATGGCGGAAAACTGACTGACTGACTGAGTTTGGTTTTACGCCGCCTTTAGCAGTATTCCAGCAACATCACGGCGGGGGACACCAGAAATGGGCTTCACACAATGTACCCATGTGGGGATTCGAACCCGGGTCTTCGGCGTGACGAGCCAACGCTTTAACCACTAGGCTACTCCACCGCCCCATGGCGGAAAACACACACACTAGGTAAACTAATATCACTGAAGTTTTTTGTTACACTGAAATGGTTTCACTGCTTTTTTAATACGACACCTGGTTTGCATAACGAACGACAGGTGACTGAAACAAGACAGTTACGTTATGGCCTTGATTAAAAGAACATTGTGTGAAGATTTTTGCCGATCAAAGTAATATTCCAGCCATATTCCGCTGGGGAAATCGAACCCGAGTTTTCGGGTTAACTTTAGTACGTAACCAACGAACTTCCCCGTCCTCTTTTGAAGTAAGTCCTAAAAACGCCCCAAGTGAGTACCCTTGTTTGTCGGTTGTTTATTATTATTACAGCAATACGTCCGCAGTATTCCCTCCAGTGACGAATATCATATTAAGCATTCGGCGCAAATGGGCTGGAATAACGTGCATTCAGCTAGTGAGAGCGCCCGGGTAGCCGATCCCGTTATTTTATCCTTGTAAGTCTCTGTTCACGACGACAGCCTCCGTGGTGTAGTGGTTAGCGCGTTCGCCCGGAGAGTGGAAGGGCGCGGGTTCGATCCCCGACCGCGGGTAGCCGGAAGTCTCTGTCACGACGACCGCCTCCGTGGTTCGATCCGCCCGAGCGGAAGGTCGCGGGTTCGATCCCCGACCGCGTCATACCAAAAGACGTTAAAATATGGTGCTTGTTGGTCCCTGCCTGGCGCTCGGCATTAATGGGTACAACAAGGACTGGTCGGCTCGGAGTCAGTATAATGTGTCTGAGTGGGGTATTCATACTTCACTGCGGCATGGTATCTCAGTGGGCTAGCACTATAAACCAGCTTAAGTCTGGGCTAGTACAAGCAGCCGCACATACACATACACACGCATGCACGTCGTCATATGAGCGAAATATCCTCAAGCACGACGTTAAACCCAATTTCACCTCACCTCACCTCACCTCACCTCACCTCACCTCTGTTCACGACAAGCGAGCCGCAACAGCAAGATGGCAAGGGGGAACGCAGATCTGTTGTCAGTGAGCCTGGTCGGGTTGGTGTAATTTCTTACTCAAACAATCACGTATTCCTCATTTTGTATGTTTTATTCGAAGGGGATTTATCATGTTCTCAGCCGTGTATGAGTGAGTGAGAGTTGTTTTACGAACAATCAATCATCCCTCTATCCCACGTTGTTTACCAAGGCAATCGTAGCATACGACCTCTATGTTAAAGTATGGGGTTACGATCAACTTGGCTACAGAGGTGCGTTAATGGCTAACTGTAAGCCATCCATATGACTCGGATCTAAGATAGGCATTGCGTTATGGAAATGTACAAACGAAACCAATTTGCTGTTATTAGTTGTAACAGTGGAAATTTGTTACTTAAACCCCCTAACAGACCAAACTTGTCTCTGCACTTTTTCGGAAATACTTGAAATTGACCTTTTTGTTAAAGCCAGTTTGCCAGACAGGTAATTTTTCCACTTTTATCCATTAATAGAGTTATTTGGGTAATTCTGCTATTTTCTATCCTTGTTTGCCTTCCACGCAATCGATTGACAATTAAACAAAAGACACTGAAAGAAAAATCCACAAGTAAGAATTCAGTCCATAAATAGAGTTATTTTAGGTAATTCTTCTATTTTCTCTTTTTGTTTCCCTTCCATGGAATCGATTGACAATTAAACAAAACTCACCGAAAGAAAAACATCCACGAAAAAGAATTCGATCTGGAGTAAATATCCACTTAACGAAACGAATTTGCGAATCCCAACACTTTGACGAGTGGGAGATATTTCACTAAAGACATTCGCGAAATCAACAATTAAAACTACGGACTATGTGGCACCAAATCACAATTTTATAAAACACAACATAACATCATGTATTTACGATATGACATGAACATTCCAGAAAAAAACGTCACACAATGCTTGTTTCGTTCTGTCCATGTTGAGCTTTTGTCTGTGACCCGTGAAGTATTTTTGGAGTGTAGAAAAAGCTTCTTGCAACGATTAAACAAGATGAGTCAGGGAGTTAAACTAAACAGGGACCACCACACACTTGCTGACGACATGATCTTGAAACATACCTGACGCATGGGATTACAGAGTGTATGCTCTGTGAAGGACATGGTACGACAATGCTAAATGATGGATCAAATCTCTACACATGTTTTAATCTGAAGGTACACGTTTTGTGCGTTTCTGTCAGTTTCTACAAATCTCCCCTTTCCACTGAAGACATTTTCTGCGTGGAAACAGCACACTGCATATCCTACACGGGTATGAACTGAGAGCGAGTCACGGAGGGACGTGTACGTGGCGCTTCTGTCTGGTGTTGGATTAACTCCCTCACAGTAAATTGGAAGAGACAAATTTTGAAAATAGAAACGAATTCTCGGGTTCAGCTTAAATCTCAGTGAGGGGGATTTTACGCCGTTTTTAGCAATACTCCAATAATATCACAGCGGCGACACCAGAAATGGGTCTCAGACGTTGTACCCATGTGTGGAATCGAACCAATGTTTTCGGCGTGATGAACGCTTTAACCACAAGGCTAC